TCTTTGAGCAAAGATCTCATCGTCAGGTGATGGCGGACAGTTTTTCAATGGTGCAGTATCTAACTTGAGTTTCGAGCTGTGAAATTCAAGGCGTTTCGCATTTGCATCCGCTTCCATCTTCCTTCTTCGATCTAATTGTTCTTGAGCTCTTTGAAATGATTCAGGTGTACTCGCACCATAAGTTCGTGGGGCAGGCGTTTTCCCTTCCGGGGTTCGATTAGCTGTGGCAGGTCTATCGTCAAGGATTGATGCGGCATATTGAGTACTCATAACATTAGGCGTCGATGCTGATGAAACCGTCTGATGCTTGTCGAAAATGTGAGGTTGAAAAAATAAGGGTGAGGGTATTGGCCTGTCGAAATAAGCGTCAATCGGGCTATTCTCGGAGGAATACGTTGGACGGGGATGCTTAAAAAGTCCAGGGGCAACAGCAGTACTCATTCCAACGATGGCGGATGCATGTTTGTCTTCGGCTTTGAAAAGACTCCTATCAACAGATCTAGCCCTTGATGATGCACTCTCATCAATCTCCGTCAAGGATTCTCGACCTCTAGGATTCCATAAATGCCCACCAAATATTTGACCCATATGATCTGTGAAGGGACCTGGCGTTCTTGGACATTCTTCTGTAGTGGGGCTTCCGGAAAATGCGTGATTTACAGATCTCGAATATGAATGGCCTCTATGAACGACCGTCGCAATCGACGGCGTCCCCGAGATAGTGCGTTCCGGTGGACCTGGTCTCGCATCAAAATTTGATGATGCCAAAGAGGATCCAGAACGTTTGGGAGTGTTTCCTACCAGGGAAGAAAGGGAAAAGTCCTGTTGGAATGGATCGCATTGCAGCGAGTCAGGGCTAGCCGTTTGGCTTTGGGCCAAAGGGTGTTCCGTTGATTCTTTATGATGATCGTGGTGAGAATCACCGAACGATGAGAAGTATTCATCTCCACGAAGACTCGCTCGACGAACTATCTCGCGCAAAATAGGAGTATATGGCGGAGCATGGGTGTGATTTTCGGTACCTGAACTTGTGTTTGTAGCATTGCTTGTAGCTCTCTTGCGGGACCCTTCACCCTTATCATTTCTCATCACACTTGTCACCTTGCCTATAGTCTTTTTGAAAGTCGATCGAGCTCGCTCTAAAAAGGTAATAGGTACAACAGCCCGTTCCAACTCGCTCTTGTCGACTTCGATCCTACGTCCTGCGGTCTTGCGTGATGGATCTGTATCGTCAAGCCATCCAATGATGTTCTCGATGCCTTTGATCGTCCATGGATGTCGTTTGACCTCTCGGAGTTTGATCCGCTCGGCGGGGTCTTTGATTAACATTCTTCTGAGCAAATCATATAACTCATCATCGATTTCCTCGTAAGACAAATCATCCTCACTCCTATATGGTCCATCCCATGGTCCCATCCTTTTGCTAAAGTGTGAGGTTGGATTCCCTGGATCGACAGCCTTTAATCGTTTTCTGGGTATATAGACATCCTCCTTTGCGATAGCCTTGAACAATTGGTATTCATCCTCGGCCATGAATGGAATGCGAGCATATACTAGGCAGTATAGAGTAATTCCCAAAGACCAAACATCGATTTGTTCAGTGATTCTTGGCTGTTCAATTTCTAGATCTGTGTAGCATAATTCGGGAGCAAAAAAGGCAGGTGTTCCAACAGTCTTAGCCAACTCAAGATCGTCATCAAAGTCGGTTGCGTCAGCCTCGGAAATATTCTCTTCTGTCTCTCCTTCTCTGATAGGTCGACCGAAATACGAGACACCAAAATCCGATATCTTGACGCGATGATCCTTTGTCCATAGTAGATTAGCAGGCTTGATGTCTCGGTGAACGATACCTTCGTAGTGTAAATACTCCAGTCCTAAGACAGTGTCTCTGAAAGCCGACCTCGCTTGATCCAAAGTAAAGCATGGGACATAAGAGAAATCGTCTTCGAAAGCATCGTGTTGTGTCATGTCATCAACCGAGGACATGTGAGAAATAATACTATCCGCCATGCTAGGAGATCTTCCTCGATACATCGGATCCTCCGCGTAAGACCCGTACATGGTGCCTTCCAAAGCCATGGCTGAAGCTTGTGGAATATATGAGCCGGGGGCATCCTCTTCATTATCGCTATCTAAAGGCCCTATCTCAAAGTCAACATCGCCACCTCCAGGTAAAGGAGTGGGAGCACGCGAACTTCTTGCAGTTGGTGCTCTAGATGTTGCTCGAGAACTTTTCATAGATCCAGGGGCCGAACGAACTAGAGACGTGTGCGATAAGGATACAAAGGAGTCTTTTGTGGTGACTCGCGATAGGGGTGGTAATTCGGAACGTTCTTCTTCTTTCTCGTCATCATCCCCATGTTCCAAACTCCAAAATTCTCCATTTCCTTGATACTGTAGAAGCTTTGCCCTCTTCATCTCTTTCCTTTGTCGTCGACGTTTAAGTGTCTCGAAGTATGCCTCGTCATTTCCCTGATCATCCTCTCCCTTAATTTCTCTTTCGATTCTACGCCGTTCATACAAGGATATCTTGCGAACTCCCTTCCGACGCCACACTATTTCTCCTAATTCGACATGTTCAAGAACCATGTATATTTTTTTCAACTCCGGATCATCAATAACTTCCAATAGGCCGACGACATTTGGGTGACGAATTTTCTTGAGAATGGCAATCTCTCTCTTCGTTTTGTCTTCAGGAGAAACCGTAACTCTCCCAAGTCTTCTCTTCTTTGAAAATCTTTGTATGATTTTGATGGCGACATAATCTTGAGTTTCCAGGCTCCGGGCCAGTTTAACTTTTCCATGCACACCTCTCCCAATTTCATCGATGATCTCGTATTGATTTATGAGTTTTCTTCCGGTAATGAAATCTTGTTCGACTTGTGCTTTGTGAGTTCTAATTTCGAGAAAAACAAGTTAGTCAATGTTTCCAGACGTAGTGACTCAGTAGACCGTCGAAGTGGCGGGGCTCAGTAGATTGATGGGTTGTGTTGACAACCCCTCGATACATGTGAAGGTGATACACGGTGTAAATGCCCAACGATAAGCTTCGCAGATTGAGGAATTGAAGATTCTTCGAGGAAAGTGAATTGCGCCAGGGGAGGGAGGGATTGACTTACTCTTTTACTTTGTGCATTTGCAAAGGGTGTAAATAAGGACTTGAATGAGGAGTTCCACGGTCGGAAAGAGGTACAGGTTGACGATGGAAGTGGGAAGGACTAAATAGACCTGGACTCGAAGATGGAGTACTTCCCGCAGAGTTTCTTGGAACTGTGATTGAATCCATTGTAGTATAATTGTGGTTGTGATAGTGGTGGTTGTGAAAGCACGTCGGGTGCAGACATCTTTGGTGGTCAAATTTCTGGCAATCTTTGCCCCAGGTGAATCAAATTGGAGTAGAAGATTATGAGCGAGCCATCATATAGTGTTGTAAGTGAGGTGGTAAGGCAGTGAAGGGGTGTTTGATTGTTTCTTCGTTGTTGGGAGGTGGTGAGATGGTGAGGGGAGGCAGTGATGAGGTCAATGTATTCGGTCTTTCTTAGTTGTTGTAGTAGCAGTAATGGTAATGGGTCGTTGCGGTTTCGGCTGGGGTCAATGGTCGTCTGTCTCTTTTTAGTTTGATTATTTTAGCTTTAGCTTTGGTCGTTTAATCAGTTAATCAGAAGAAGGAAAAAAAGGGTGCTAAGGGTGTTGCTGCAACTTGGTGAGGTAAAGTTTAATAAAGTAGTGTGAGATGAATTAATGATGAATTGATGGATGGATGGATGGTGCCCTCCCCTGGTGGTGGAGAAAAGAATCCAAGTCACTGATGGATTAGATTGTCCGTGCTTTCCCTCTTACCGTACGTACCGTACCGTACCGTACAGTCAGTCCTTTCCAAAAAAAATTATTACTTTGGATCAGAATCGCCAGATGTAGAATATTAGATCAAGCGTCCTTTTCTTTCCTATCCCCTCTTGTGCTCTCTCTTGTGACGTGGATGAAAAATTGGAGTGAAGGCGGAAGAGAAAGAAGAAGAACCATCATAATCACGACATGCACAACAATAATAAAATATGTCGCATGATAAATGCCTACCTGGATTGGTTACTTGGATTAAATGCCCCTAGATAGTACTAGATCGATAGACACTAGTTGATTGATATCTTCTTGTTCTTTTTCTTGTCACTTATCTTTATCTTGCCAGTTAGATCTTTCGCTGCTAGCAAGGCTCCAGGCTCAAGGCTCAAGGCTCGTACCGTGTGGCGGTTCTTCTGATAATCAAGAGGTTGAATTGGAACTGGGATTCAATACGGTAGTACCGGAGAATGATACTTGGTGACTGTTGATTCTTTGATATGATTGTGAGTAGCTTAATATCCATAATATCCTGATTGGAACCAGTGACAGTGATAGTGACAGTAATAGTGACAGTGACAGTGATAGTGACATCGATGAGGTACGCTCGGCAAGCAAATACGCGTTGAGTTGACGATGAAGACGTGACTAGAAACAAAGGGAATGATAGTTTCCTCATGAAGAACAACGTGGAATGCAGTTAAATTTTGGACATTCAATAATCTGATGTGTGTAAGTAAGTCAATGTCTATTGTCAGTTCATGTCAAAGCATTCAATGTCCCTTCATCTGGTAGTATCATTGTGAAGGATATAACCCTCGAAAATCTAATAATACCCACGCACGCGTATAGACCGACACCTAACGAGGTCTTACAAAATGATAGAACTTTGGAAGCTACTGAAGAGGTCAAAATTCAATGGATTTCTCGATTCAGTTCCTTACAATCAACCAATGATAACTTCATCCCGTGCGAATAACATGTTGATCTTCTTCCTCCTTGGTAGATAATCATCTTAATCAAGGATGACCGACCCCCTTGGTAAAACTTGATAAGAATATGGCTGAATAACTCAAGCCGTGGCTAATGTGGCTAAAAATCCCAAGTGTTACAGAGCGGCACAAAATGATTCAAGTTCAACCATATCGTTCTCATTATCAACAATGCAATCCTTCTCATCCCCAAAAGATCCAACAAAAAAACGGTTGAAAAAGAAGCTATTCGTAACCAGAATCAAGATAAGGATTCATTCCCGTCTCCCAAATTTGCCTCTTACTGCCTTATCTAGTTAACTACTCAATTTCAAACTTCTCTTCCATTTGCGGACTTGGCGAAGAGAGGTGGACGGGAAGATCAAAGGACGAATCGACATCGATAGAAAAGGAACATCTACATGATGCATGATGCAAGAAATAATGGAGTCCAAAAAATTGGTCCCTTTTTTACTTTCCTTCCCTACTAACCCCTTCCTACTCGTAACCGCTCGCAATTCATATTCCAGCTCCGATTGTTCAAGCAGAGACAGAATATGATCAAATTTATGATAACCTTTTTTCTGTCTCCCAAGCCTCAACTGATGCACATGTGAAGAGAAGAGATACGGTACCGAGCTTTCTTAATCTCACCTCACGATGGACTTTCAATGCTTCATGATTCTCGCATTCATCCATATTGAAGCATCTCAACAGATATACATTGATGGTACGACAACGACACAACACACAAATTATTTTATCTCATAGCCGCAGTAAGACATCCAAAAACCCTTTATTAACCTTGGAATTATCCCGATCCTTTGTTATGTGTACAGCTGCTAGCTTAAGCAGGAATCGGGCTGTTGTGCAACCCTCTTCTAAGACGGTGGACAATCCAGATACCATACTTTTTTAAGCCATCCCCTCGTCCATGACTCCATGAAAACCCACCATCTAAATCCTTGAACAATGCGGAGAGGGGGCTGACAATGTATAGATGTACCGGCCGGTATGGTATATGATGCTTCATTTCTTATTATTTTGAACGATTTCCCGATCGACCATTCTTCGATTAGCCAACCATTCACGAATGCTCCGTCAACCCAATGCTCTTTTGGACATTACTCCGTATTCTATTGGATTTCTAGCAGAACGCAATATTGGATCCCTACTCTTCTACTCTCCATTTTTACTATTATTATATACTCATGCCTTTCCTTTCAAGTGCTTACGGACTAATATCCAAATTGGCGCGATGCATACAGCATCACACAAGGCATATATAAGCCACACCGGTTCGTCGGGCACACCAACACTCCTCTGAGCTACAAAGATGTACATGGGTTTGCTACCATCTTTCGAGATGAGACTACAGAATGCCAATAATTAAAACAACAAAGAAAACTTTTTTTCGGTGTCAATGACGATGATGAGGCATCGTATGATTAGCCTTTTCCCAAGAAGCGCGAGAACCAATCGTTAAGGCTCCTGATCCCCTTGGGTGGCTCTCATACTAAAAAATTCTTTGTTCGTGGAGGGGTAACCTCTACGTCAGAGCATCTTCTTTGTCTACTCTACTCTGTATTTTGCAATCAGTAGAAATGATTCTTCCATAGTGCCCTTGTAACCCTCAACTCTTCCTTTACCTACCTAGTACCTACTATTAACGAGAATTCCCCTCGATCGCTTCTCCTTCATTTACCATCGCGGAAGCATCCAAAGTCGTACCCCCATGTCAAATGAATAGAGACTAAACAGTCCAAACCAAGAAACTCGATACGATTCACCATTTTGACAATCTCAACGAATCAATCCCATTCCCAAAATCCCCTGTCCTCTCGTTGATCACCCAACTGCCAAGTCTTGCACGGCTGTTGGTTGATGTAATTTCAAGTCAAAGGGATCAATTTACGGCCCGAGTTGATTACGACTTTCTTCTTATTTTGCCTCCCCTCCCCTATCCTTCATAGATCAACGAAGCACGGTTCAAGTCGGGTACTACATCGTTTATTAGTGTCATTCGATGCTAGATTAGATAGAAGGAGAAGGGAGAAGGGAGAAGGGAGAAGGGAGGGGTGGTAGTTGATTCATTTGAGGCGATTGAAGAATGTAAAGAACCTTCTGATACTACCTCCTACGGTATGATTGGACTCGGGGCTTCTAAATGAAAACCTTTGATAGAGTCTCGGTGAATCCAATAATTGAGATGGACCGATTTGTAGAATCGCAACTACCCGTCAACTATCCATCCTCAATTTAGCATCGACCTAATTTGTCTAATATCACTTCAAGTATCAATCGAAATTTCTCCAATGGAGCGGAGTGGAATCGTTCCGTCATCAATGCAAGATAGAGCAAGCTGGTGGACCTATTTCAGATGTCTCCATTTACAATTTTAACAAGGGGAGTTACCTTGATACAGTAAGTTTACGACTTTGTTACAACCACCCACTTTTTCATCGTACGAGCAAATTCCTTCCTAGAGTTCCTATCTCTCATCAAAAATTCAAAATGGGTGTCTAATCTATGGTACCCAATATGAAGGAACCTTCAATTTGTACTTCCATATCTTAAATCAATATTAATCAATCAGCCCATGTGCCTCGTTTGGAAACGTGTTCCCCCTATTTCCCAACATCGATATACTAACCTCAAACTATCAAATCTCATACTGTAGGTAGGTACGTACAGCACATCTCCATCTCCCAATCCAAACATCTCCATATCTCCCCACCAGCACACCTAAACACAAGCCCAACCCGCTTCTTCCCGAATCTAATCCTGCATGCACACACGGAGTACTTCGTACATACGCACAACTAGCTCATTAATATCTCAAACGAGATTAAGAAATCGCAAAAGCGAGAGGGAAAGGGCAAAATACCACACGACACATCATATTTCCACCCCCTCCACACCTCCGTCTCAATGGATTCCTTTCCACTCAAAGGCCAAGGATCATACCACACACTCCTACTGTACATCAAGTTACAGATTCCAGGTCGCCTAATTATCTGTGCGTATACGCTGCATTGATATCTGGTATCTGGATAGGGCAAGGAGGTTTGATCGTGTGGTTAATGCATCCATCAATTCATCCTTCCGATATTGTGTCACCATACCGAGCATACATCCTTAGAGCTTACATGGTTTTCTACAAAGCATGCAAAGCACGGAGCGCAAAATACCTGGGCATGCAAAGCACCCAGAACAAACGTAAAGTATTATCTACGCGGTATCAGCATCAAAATACCAATCGTTTGCAATCTGGTTTCACTACATCCCGCATTAGTGACCACCTATCTATCTACCTACAGTATCTTGAGAAATTTGGACCATTCAATTGTCCACGTTGCGGATTGCAAAAGGCATCAGAATGCGCGGGAACCCATCGGAAAATCGGAGATGCGAACACGGTTACGGGATTGACAGGTTTGGGTAAGTATCACTGATGATGAAATTTCCCGAAGGAGGGATTTGATAGTATGTGGGCATGGGAGTAGATTGTCTTGCTGTGTAGCTTTCCCGTTTGGTAGCTTTGTGTTTTTGGATCGAGGCAATCGCCTATTCCTGATAGATTGGTACGAATGTTGATGTTGGTATTGGTGTTGGTGTTGGTATTGGTGTTGGTATTGATATTGGCATCGGTATGATCATCAAGTCATTTCCATCCGTCCAGTGACAGACTAATTACATTCAAACCTAAGCGTACCTGGTATATTGATGCGGGGCAAGTGCAACACAACATAACTCCATCACATCAATATTAAATTCTTCATGGGGCCGCTGCTATTTGCTCAGATACATAACTGGGGTCTCCTAAGTCTTGTGATTCTTCCCCGCATTTCGGAGTCCTGACCTTCATCAATCTTTCATCATTCGTTACTTATACCGCTATGTTAATGTGATGCCATGCGATGCGATGTGATGGAATATAATAAATGCATTTCAGATATCTGATCGGAGTTACGGCGTTGATATTTACCCTTTTAAGCTTTGGTTACCTTTTAAGAGAAGGAAGAAGCGGTTGGTTATCTATTCGAGATGTGCATGAACCTGGAGATCCTACAGAAAGGGAAATTCATCTCCTGAATTACTGACTCGCATTTCTTGCCATGTATGTACGCACGCACAGAACAGTGCTGAAATCCGGGGTATTGTGAAACGTGAAATGGGGTAGTAGTAGTTTCTAAGAAGCTTGACCTTGAGCTCTGGTAGTTACCAGGTAGTGCTATACACGTGACACTGCTTTTGTATAGAGTAGTACTCTGTAGCACTTCGGTATATCAACACGGAATGAGAAGGAAAGAAAACGGGAATTCAATCATGTGATTGTGGATTTAACATCATCAACCTTTTGATGTGTATATCCTGGTATCTCTTGGTACGGGGGATATTCACAGTTCCACGAATATCAGTACCAGACTTTTGATGAATTCAAGATTCTCTCCCATCCTATCGTTGATCGATTACTCGAGCCAACCTACCCTCTCACAAACACCCATGAACTCTTGTCATTCTTCATTCTTCATTCTTCATTCATCCCATTCATTCACATTCTCCTCCCTTCCAAGTTCCAAATTCCTATTCTTTGGGCCATCCTTTCTTACGCAGCCACCACACATCATACGCCACAGTCATACACTTTACCTAATCGTTCGCACTTCTTCACATGTTAAACTAACATTCAAAGAAAAATGGCTTGAATTCAGCCCAAGACAATGTCTCATTTTCCGATAAGCCAAAGTGAAGGGTAGCCAATCAATCAAGCTCTAACCATCTTGAGAAGAAGATGCAGAAATCAAGCAGATAGACACATTTGGACCAACTTAATGGAAATGTGATATATCTCGGATTCGAATTGTGGGATATTATCATGTGATTGCTCCTTTTGGCCAATAGTTTGTCCGTCAGAGAGGAAGTAAGGCAAAAAAGCAATCCTCTCTCTTTCAAATTGTACTAGTCCTGCATGATTAGTACATCACACCATCTCCCAAATTTACTTTCCACGAGTCAAATAAAGTTATCTCTCGGTTTACGTATGCATGTGTGGCTTATCTGAAACCCATTCACTCTATCCTCATCAAGCGCGCATATTCAATGTGAGGTACGTACTTGTCTTTGAAACGTATGTATGTATGTATCTGTGGCTTGAGGACAAGAGATATTTGAACACGAGATTATACATACGTATCAACACATCATCATATACTTGAGAATAAGACACTGGGTAGCAATATAGCTTTCATGCGAAGAATAGGAATACACAGATTCGTACAGTGCATCTGCTTCCAAAAGGGGCGGAAAGTGAAAATGTGAAACATTGATTTCTTCAACGCGGGATAACCTTTTGCGGAATGCTCGGTATTCCCGCTGTTGAAATTGTAGTCTCAGTTCATTTCTTGCTATTTCCTGGGTGTCGTGTCTTTGCTATATTGCTGTAAATGAAAGTTTGTGTTTCTTCACGCGGGATAGACATGCGAGAAAATTTCCACATGTTGAATTTTGTATCAAAGATAAAACATACTTGTCAATGTTTCTCTCTATATGCGGACAATACACACACACATTCATTTTTCCATTAAATACTATTCGCAAGATAATCTGGGCCGAGTGGGATTACTTGAATGCATTATATGCCAGAATGTCTGATATCAATTCTATCCCATCCCATCTCACCACATCATATCACCTCTATCCCATTCCACGTACATGCTTGTGGTTACGACAAAGTTTCTATTCGCTCTATGATATCCCGGATGACAATTCTCACATTCCATCATCATCTAACGAGCCCATATCAAATAACCAGAGTAGTCCATTTTCAACAACCCAAACTTAATTCCAACAGTTAAGACACTTTGGTCATTCAAATCTATATACATCACATCAGAATCTCGGAATCCTAAAAGGCGTACAAACTTTGCATACTTTACCTATATACTGTACAGTTCCTAGGGGATCTAACATCATCTGTTCTGTGGATCTTTGGTTACACTTCCCGGTGAGATAGAGTGGACATGTTTGATTCATATCAGTAAGCTATCATTGCGGTGTTTGAAAATATTCGAGTATCTACCTGAGTTTTCGTCTTATAGTGTAAAAGGTAGGTAGGTAGACATAGATTGTAATTCACACCTACCTGCAGAAGCAACGGTTAGTGATTGAGCATTAATTCCGTTTAATTCTAGACCCGTTTGATGTGCGAATTCCTATAAATCTCATATATAACCTCACCTCGTTTGAATATCTAATTCCATGCCAATATAGAATTCATCTGATTATTTGATTATACCTGAATATTCAAGTCAATATACTGTCTACCTTTCTCAGAATCTCAGTACCTCCGAATCTCTCCTTCGCCTGGTGTAGATACAATATGATCTTTGATTCTCGTCCTCGACCTTAATCATTAGTAAATCATCTATATACAATTCCATCTCCTTCTTTCCAAACAACTCAGCAATCGCAATCTGGGAACTACATTCCACTTGGTGTGAAAATCCTAAATTACTAAAGCAGTACTACATCTTGGGAGGGGAAATATTTTCCTAGCGATGCCGAGATCAAGTTTGCTTGAGATATCATAGAGCTCAGCAGTCTCAATATTCCAGACTACATCCTTACAATCTCGAGCTTCGAATTGTTACTCCTGAGCAAAATACTCACACGATCTCAAAGATTGTAAGATCACACATTTCGATGCTGAATCGTCTCCAACATCATAAATTCCCGATTCTCGGACTTTACCCTGGTGGTCCAGTCTAGACCATTGAATACCCTTCTGCAATTTGGATCCTCGGAGTAAATATTGTGGCTAAGGTCCCACGAGCCAAAAGGCGCAAACCTGACACCCTCGTCGCTTGTGACTCTGTTGCTGTTTGGCATTCGTCATCTTGGTTCATGGTTAGAAGTCGACTGTCCATGCATTACCGGTCTCTGCAAGAATAGGCATGAAGAAATGGCTTTAGAATCGCGATGTAATGTATTGGTGTCATTTTACCATTAGTATCCTCTTTGTGAATCAGATGCGGAAGATCTAGGGGAAGGAATCTTCTTATCTGGAAGGAGGGGAGGGGGGGGACAAGGAATTCATGTTTCATAAGATAAGAGTTCCACTTATTGCTTGATCTGAAGATAAATCATGTCACTTCGATGTACCAGCACAGTATCTTTGAGGTCATGTAGTCTCAAAGACTCTCGTAAATCGGGATTGATCTCAAGGAGACTTCCTCCGTTGGTTCTAATACCTTTGCCCTTGGCTTCAAGGCTGTTCAGAGTCAGCACTGCGACTCCCCGTCGAATTGGAAAGGAGGGCGAATATGTTGAGACTCAAGCCACGATCAAGTTGAAGAGCAGAATAATCATTAACTTTCCACACATCACGGTATTGCTTACCAAATTCAAATAATATTAATACAGAGCAAGTAATGTAAAGTAAATGTTATAGATATATATATTGTCATTATCATTCATTGGTGCAAACTTCTAAATAAAGTGCTAGGTATAAAATACAAATAACCCTCGAGGTTATAACTCATTAATTCCTCCATCTCCTGTTTTTCGCACCGGCGATAAGCCAAGCCAAAGTAAATGAAGTGCCGTGTAAAGTGCAAGCAAACAAACAAGCAAGCAATCAGTAGAGCAAGCAGGTAATCGGTGTATAAGGGCAGCAAGCATTCGCAAAGGCAAAAACAGAGAGACAAGACAAGACAACATCCAATCGAACTCCTCACTCCTCATTACCTCCCCTGAGACCTCTCAATTTCCTCACCCTATCCTCATTTTCCTTTTTTGATCCTTTGAGATCTAACTCAACCGACTTCCCGGTCTTAAACTTCCATTTCTCTTTTCGTATCTCCTGTTTCTCTCTTCCAAGATTTGTTCTCGCTTCTTTTCATTTTGTGTAGGATCATTCTTTGCATCTCCATCTTGACCTGGATTTGCCATTTCGTATTCGAGCATCTTGATGAATTTGTAGAAGAATACTGCGATGGCTGTTCCGACCATTGGTCCGATCCCTAGTAGAGAATGTTAGTTTAAGTTTGGAGATGGGGTGAGATGGGAGAAAGGCAGATGAGTGGTGTCGAATGTGGATGCATGGAAAGGAAAGGGTAAGGAAGACAGGTGTGCCAAGGTAGCAGAAGAAACTTACAATAAATCCAATGTTCCTTATCGAATGATCCACTAACAACACAAGGACCAAAGCTTCTCGCTGGGTTCAAACTTCCACCAGTATAATAGACTCCGACCATCTCGGCAATGAACAATGCTAGACCAATACCCACTGGCGCAATGAAAGTCGCCTTGTGTTTCTCCTTCGCCAACATAAAAATGGTAAATACCAACTCAGCTGTCAGAATCGCCTCGATAAAGACACCTTGTACGGTGGATGTTTCAGCACCGAGCGTAGTTCGTACATTGAATGTAGTAGGGAAGAGACCGAGAACCATTCCACTAGCAGCTATGCCACCGAGGATCTGGGCGAAGAATAGACAGACAGCGCGGGGAATAGGGATGGCACCAACGAGTACCATACCGAGGGTTACGGCGGGATTGAAGAGACCACCAGAAATACGGAAGAAAATCCATACGTTTACCATGAGGGAGAAACCGAAGATAACTGCGATGTAAAGCTGAACTGCGACGTTGAAACCTGTTGCAGCACCTGTGGTAGTGTTCACTGTGTTACTGTCGATATTGGCTACTTGAGTACCGGCAAAAGCAAAGAAGAGAAACATGGTTGTGCCGACGAATTCACCGATTGTTGCTACGAAGTCTGTCCATGGTTAGTATGTGCACGATGGAAAAGAGGATGAGAAGACTTACGATTTTTGAAATTACTATTCATCCATTGTGTCCATGGTAACCTCATGACTATAGCTCTTTCTTCTGGTGTCAAATTGTTCAAATCAATCGTTCCTTTCGTTCCACTCCTTTTATGCGAATCGTAGTTATACCCGTCGATACTCTCGTCTGTACTCTTTCTTCTAACCCTCTCACCACTGGCCCACTCAGGTGCAGCACCTGGTTCTCTCATCCCCTTTTCCAAGTCTCGATCTTTGCCAAGATCACTTCTTGATGAATCATCAAAATATGATTTCTGAGGTCCACTTTCCCATCCTACAACATTGCGATATGTACGTGGGGGACGGGAACGTTCGTGATAATCTGGATGGGGATGATCATCACGAACACGTGTGCGGGATGACATTGAGTTCTCTCTCTCCCGATCGCTATAGTAGAGGTCTTCTCGAGCACGAAGAGCTCTTCCTGACTCAGATGTGAAACTCAGCTTGGGGTCGTAATCGCCGCCGGAATATCTTCTTGGTGGAGGTACTGATGGCCTTCTTCTTAGACCTGCAGCTGGTCTTGTAAGATCTTCAGAGGAGAAGACAGGGTGTTGTGGGGTGAGATCTGGTGGTGACATGATTGGATGTGATGAAAGGGGAGGCGACCACATTGCTGTATCCTTTTGATATGCCCTAGAAGGAGACGATATAGTATGTGCAATTGGTACCAATTGTTGTTGTGAAGAACCAGGGCGATTTATAACATCTCCATCCATAGTTTTACTACTTTGGAATATTGGAAGGTCTGTGCCTTCTCCTGACATTGTTAACTTGAGACTCTCTGCGTCAATGTCTAAGTGGGGTGAAGGGAAGTCGTGATAGGGTAGAATATAGAAGGGACGCTTTCTCAGTGGCTTAGCCGTAATGATGGGTTTGTCTGGTAAAAAATAATATATAAAGTATGGGGGTGTGTATGAAGTTGATGTATTACGATTGATGATTGAGTTGTAAAGTATGATGGGATAAAATAACTTCAACGGATGACCTGAAGAGATATATATTCTCGTTTCACCAACCACTTTCCCCAATTCTAAGCACCATCGGGTAAAAGTATATCGAATCTTGATCTCCTTGAACCTTGGAAACATAATTTCTTCTTTTCCTTGCAATATCTATCAACCTAGCCATCTGCGTACGAAAGTATCTCTACCCAAGGTCCACAATCAAGGGTCTTGCTGAACACGGTGATTGAAAAAAAGCAAATAACTATATCAAAGGAGAACCATCATACTAAACGATGGATCCCAAGTGGCTGGCTTCTCAAATGAAGAAGTTAAAACTTGACAGGAAAGCCCATGTGTGCATCAATGCATGATAACGTGGACCCTTAAGAATGATTTCGGAAAATCATGGAAAATCATCGCACATCTGCCGTAATGACGTAGATCCTCCGGACTCTCCATAGAGTTCATAATATAAAGCCCGTTGAGCCATATGGAAACGGCAGGGAAAAAGTAGTTTAACTGATGATAATACTTGAGATGAATTATAGGGCAAACGCTTAACACATGGATGGACCTTGTCGTCACGTGGACAACATGCTCTTTTCCAGCCTTCGAAACTTCGGATTCCAACGACGAACATCCGTAGAAGAAGCGTAGAACAAGAATTGCAAGGGAAATGCTCGAAATAGGATTTGAATGGTTGGTATCGAATCTATCGATCTTGACTAGAATGAGAAAGATATGACATCGGAATAGAAATCGGATACAAACCGTCGTTTGAAAGTCTGTGCAGATCGTTCTGCTTAAATTGGAATTTGAAAGTTAGGATGGACTCAATTCAATGCGTTCGAGTTCAATTCATGCATTGATATGAAGATGAAATAACATATAATGATTGAGAACCCTCTGGCCACCTTTTCAAATTTGCTATCGAGATTTGGAATGATTCCAACGGAGATTGCAATTATTTCTGTGCAAGTAAGTGGCAACGAGCTGAAAATGAGTCGTGATGCATCAATCGAAGACGTCGGGAAAACTGACTCTCCAGGTGGAGTTTCAAATTCTCGCTTAAACATAATCATCCTTCATTGGTCAATGCCTTTCCATGATCAGGGGATATCTTGAGGTATATCATTCGGGTGATATAGGTTAATGTATGTTCTTATGCTTCTCGTACTTTTAGTCTTTTTTATACTTTCATACTTTCTTCTACTTGGTCAATTCTCTCTTCTCAGTTTCTATTCTCGTCCTGATCAACGAGGACTCATTTCCAGCCTCTCTCCACCCTTCCTTTTCCGTCTCTGCCCTATGCACTACTCTAAGAAAGTATCAAAACAGAATTAGGGATTAAAATGCAGCCATCCAGAACTTTTCTAGAACCTGTCTGAAAAACCGGAGAACTTTTATTGTTCATGAACGATCCTCACCGCCAATCCGATCCATCTTCCATGACTCACAAAACCCCCGGTATTATAGCCTTTCGTGCCCCAACCTTCTCTCTACCAAACCTCTTTACATACCAAGCCTTTCCTTGTAAAGCTCTTGGTAGCATCGTAGTTATCTCATTGATGAGAAAATTTCTTGCAGGCACGCAACCACTTCCAGCCATTATGAAGAAACCAGCCCATTCGATCCACTCACAGAAATAATGAGGATATAAAATATAGTTGAAGAGACCGTTCTGAGGAAGCATGTACACTTTGTCTACTTTGGTATTGCCTTTGTTTTTTCCGGTTGAAGGGTCATTCTGTGCTGCTTGTTTTCGAAGTGCCGCGCGTCTGATTTCACGTAGTTCATCGTCATGAAATATATTGCTTACGAGACCGAGAAAGAAAATCATCATGCCTAACTCGATACGTGCTCCATTTACATATGGATTTCCCGATGTAGGTTTCCTATAGGTAAGATGGTTAGCGCCGCTAAAGAAGCGCCATGCCACTCGTATGCTATACTTATGACATATATCTGTCCATGCTAAGACCATGTGGGAGTGGATGGAATAAAGGGAGAAATTACCAATCAGCTCTTGTAAGAGGCCCATAACCAGCAAAATAACACCCCAGTGATGTAGCATTTGTCACTTGAAAGGCAATCGCCGAAAGCCAAACTATAAAATGTATGGGGGACATAGAAGGAGAGATAAGAGGGCCAACAATAGCACGATTGATGTAATGTATGGTCTGATTTTTTGACATATCGTTAGCACAGATCCATCAATTTGCTTCTTTCAGGCTCGCGCCGACTTTTATTCCGCCACTAGTTCAATATCTGGTCTCACTTCCACAGAGGAGTTCTTTCAATTCCACTAGTCAATGGCCATTGAATCGACACATTGGTCCATCATCTGCTAAACTCTCCCTTTCGAACTCTTTCGCCCCCACTAAGTCACAGTCACTTGATCGTCAGACCAAGAACTATCCTCTGCCAGCTCACTCCTCCCAACACCTTTGTAGCCCTCCCAAAAAAGAAAAGAAACTCACATATAGCCCCGCCATCAGCTTATTCTCCCAAGGCAAGGCATTCAACCCCACCTCCTTGGGCAACGTATACATAATGTACAGCATAGTCACCAGCCCAGGCAGTTCCATCGTAATCCAGCCCAGCTTTCCTGGAAGATTAAATCGACTATTTGATGAGGTCTTGCCTGCACCGTACCATGGTTGAACCCATTGAATGATTGTTACCTATGGGTTGGAAGTGAGCATGGGCCATTGGGGATATGAGAGAATGGAGGAGAGTGATTGAATGAAAGGGATAGGAGAAATGTAAGCCCTAAATAAAGAGAGAGATGAGATAACAGTCGGGAGAGAAAAAGACTACAAACCAATGGAAACCATTGAAATCCCCAAACGATTAATTCCCAGTTTTCCCTTGAGGGAGGCATCCAATTCTCTACAAGAACCATCTTGACAATTACTTAGCTCAGACTCTTGAACAAGAGAAAGCATTTGAAGTAAGGAAATCGTCGTTCGAGTGAAGCACAATGCTTCAATGATGTCACCACTTTTTATTTGCACTTTCTGTGCAACTCACACCGCATGATGTTTACGCGTTTGTCAGCCTTGCATTAGTAGCCAATAATTTACGTATCTCAGATAGCTGATCGTGAAGCTTTCAGCCTTGCAATCACTACAGCTCACGATAACGATAGCATCACTTTTGTTAATTGTGACATTGACTAAAACTTCATGTCTTCACCCTCGCCCTCAGATTCACAACTAGAAATGACACCGTCACCCTCTCGCATCGCATTCTACACTAGTAATCTCTCATCCTTCATCTCCTCCCCCTCTACCTTTCGCATCCTGCGTACCCTATCTCCGCCCACACCACTACCCCCCATCCCTCCCACCCCCAAAAACCTCACTTCCGTTACCTTCGACGCATACGATGCCTATCGCGGGTCCCTTTACTTTCCTCCCACGACCACTAGTACCGCCCCAAACGAATCTCTAGACCATTCGAAACCCCCAAACCGAGATCACCCATCTCCCTCTAATCCCAACATCCCGCAAACCCTCTACATACTCGATTCTTCCTTTAACCCGCCTACTCTTGCACACGCGCATATTTGTCTCTCCGCTCTAAACGATCACTACTCTTCTTCCGAATTAGGTCACACAAACGCGAGGCTATTAATCCTACTCAGTACCCAAAATGCCGATAAAAAGATTACCGGCGCGAGTTTGGAGGAGAGATTAGTGGGAATGGAATGTTTTGCGAATGATTTATTGACGAGTTGGTATTATCCTCATTCGGCTTATCATTACAAGAAAGAGAAACTTGATCGTTCGAATGGGAAATCATCCGAAGTGACTGAATCCGATTCTTCGGACGCCGAGTCCTCAGACATCGAATCCGAATCCGAATCCAAATCCGAGTCAATTGGCGGAACGAAACTCAAATCTTCCCCTCCCCAATCTCCTTCATCTGAATCCCTACTTTCCGATAACCCCAACTCGAGGCCTAAAATCGATATAGATATAGGTCTAACATCTCTCCCCTATTTCCACGACAAATCTGCCGCCATAGAAGCCTCCTCCCTCTATCCACCCTCAACAACACACATCCATTGCACTGGCTACGACACTCTAATCCGCGTCTTCAACCCTAAATACTATCCACCCACTCATGATCTCTCTCCACTTATCCCCTTCCTCTCAAGCCACAAGCTTCGCGTAACCTACCGCATCGACAAAGACTGTACAAAAGAAGACCAAGATGCATACCTATCGAAAATGCAACACGAACTACCCAGTCTAGGAGGAAAAAAGGAATGGATAGAAGATAAGAAGATATACATGGCTCCAGGACTCGAAGGAAAAGAAATCAGCTCCACAAAAGTTCGAGCAATGATTAAACAATCCAGCGCACCGGATCCGCACCGAAAAGGCCAGGGAAGCTCGAAATTCAAGGGGAAGGGCAAACAGGAGAACAAGAGGATTAAAGAGGGATTGAAGGGATTTGTAGGAACATCGGTGGGGAAATGGATTACGGGGGAGAAATTATATTGGTGGGAAGCGAAGGAGAATGGGGAATGAAGGAGAGATGGAATGTAGGTAGCCAGCTAGGTCAAAGCCCAGTCGCGTTTGTGATGGAGATAGAATATGAAGTACGAAGACAAAGAAAGACGTGATATGATTTCATAAATCAACACATCCATCCATCTAACTTACTTGGCATCCCAATCGGAGACGCTCATAGCATATCGTAGCATCGCATCGCGTCGCATCGCATCAGCTAATTTCAGCACGGGAAAAATCAATCCATCCTCGAATGCATGCATATATGCATATACCTATGTACCTACCTAGTATGCATGCGCGCATTCCCACCGCCAAGAACACTCACTCACTCACTCACTCACTCACTCACCCCCTAACTTCACCCATAATCATAAACACAAACATAAACATAAACACAAACACAAACATAAATATAAATATAAATAACAAAACTCCTCCTTCCCCTCCACCATCCCCCAAGAACCAATAATTTTCCAAAAAGCTAGACAGTCTACTCGTACAAATCCGATGTTCGAATCTTATGATCTTGAATACCTACCTACCGCTATCCCTAGGTAGGTAGATAGATAGATGGGTGGATAGATATATATATATATATGTATGTATGTATATATATAAACATCCTCTCGCACACTTCTCCTCTCCTCCTCCCCTCGTATCCAATAGAAAATAAAATTAATACGACACCTATCCATATCCATATCCATATCCACATCCCCATCCCCATCCCCATCCATCCCCATCTAGCCAAGTAAATTGACGTAAATTTTGACGTACAAAACCTACTCCATCCTTCCTTCAGCCCTACCCTACGATCGATGTACAGTAAGTGCAGTGCAGTGCAGCCCTACGATACGATACGCGCTGTCATCACATCGTCCACTCTCATTCTTGGCTTGGAAGACCCCCATCTTGGTACTACATCACATCATACAAAAGGTTTCAAAATTCCCAATTCAAAATTTCTGTGATTAAAGACTTTCTATTCTTTGCTCTCCCTCTTCTATGTCTCATTCTCATCTAACACTCAAACGCTGAAAGAACCAAGGAAGCTTACCCATATTCTATCTGTAGTTACTGGATAATGTATACCTCTATAAATTTTCTTTTCTTCCCCTCTCTATTCCGCTCTTCATACTTCGAGTATGTACTCCATATAAATGTATTCGACAAAACGCCATACCCATGCATTTCTGGTACTATCCGTCTAGCCCAGTCCGACCCAGCCCATTCTACTTTGGATTCGCCAAAGAGTGTGTACAAAAAAGGGAGGATCCGATTTTCCATCCCTAGAGCAAGAAGCCAGAAACGCCCCTTTCGGCATAGAATGTATAAATAAGTCATCAATCAATTGCTCTCCCATTAACATATATTCTCCTCCGTCAAACTCAATAACATCCTCACAGAGTCCAAATCAATTCCAACACACCATCAACATCATACATTCTCTTTCCATCCTTGTGATCTTTCCACCTCCAATCATCCTTCTTTCGAATATAGGTTTGTCTAACCGTTCCATCTGCTCTTAATTCCGATTCAGCAAGATCCCATGAAACTTTTCGTCCAGTTTCACGAAGAGGAATTCTTTGAGGTCCAAACATAAAATCGAGATTCCATCCTGTTCCATCATCACCTAATGCATTGAACGTCCTTTCCATTTGATGAAGGTTGAAATCGATACCCTTGGGATAATGAGCAATGGACCAACCATTGGTGAGAATAAAGTTATCTCTAGTTTGAAATCTTTGGAGGAAACAATCTTCACCACAAACTTGTTGAATTTTAGTGGATTCGAAAACTTGAGCTTCATGCCACATTCCTCCCTTGAAATGATGAAGAGAAAGTGGTCTGATACCAGATTCATAGAACCCTGATGGATCACCAACAATATCCAATTGCCAGATGTCATGAAGGACAGTCAAACGGACTTCGGTGTTTTCGTATACGCACTTTCGGAGTAGGATATCACCTTGAGAACCCCATCCGGAATTTGCTTCTTCGACCTTCTGTTTAGTGCTGCATTGAGGGAAAAGATCTGTAATTGTCGCGGCCAAAGGAACAGAAAAGAAAACTCCAGCTCCACCATAAGCCTGGCTTCCATGGCGTGCAAGACTACCGACATCTTCAGAAAGATTACCAATATATAAATCTTCACTAGCATCATAGGTTGCCATTTTCTTGATGAGAGCATCCATGTTTGGGAAGAATGTATCGTCGTCGCACATTACCAGCCATTTTCGATGTTTTCTGGACTTGTCGTTATATAAAGCGGGTAGGAGAGAGAAGTAACGCTCGGCCATTTCGATTTTACTGTCTGCAGTGTAGACTTTGGCATCGATTCCATATGCTTTCAACATTTTCTTGATTTCGTTGATTTCCTTTTCTGAAGCATCGACCAATCGTAGGATCAATCCACCTCCATTAGAGTTTCCATGACCATCGGTCAACCAATGCGACCAATCGAGCATGGGGTTAATCTTTGGATCAGTAATTCTCTTGTAGGTGGTCGAAATGCCAAAGAGGAACTCAGTAGCATTCACATCTGCAGGAATAGCAGACTTTGGGACCGGTACATCGAGTGGTTTCAGACATTTCGTAGTAGGAGCCGTGTCTTTCTCGATGTTGATTGTATCGAAATATCGAGGGAATAAGTGTTCGTCAAGTCTAGTAATGGATTTTCGTTCAATATCTTGTCGATGATATCTAACTTGTCTGGAAGCATATTCGATTTTATCATCGAGACCATACTTTTCTTTCAGTTCACGTAAGTGTGTCGAATTGACGGCACAATCGGGAGAACCGTTTTGGGTGGTAAGAATTTCTTGTGAACTTGGACTGAGTTTTGATTGAATTTGATGCAGTCTCTCTGGTGTAGGTCGTCCGGTGAAGAAGATGATTGTGAGGCAAATGAATGTGAATAGCGCAATGCGGGTGAAAGGACTTCGAGGATTGATCAACCTATTAGGCGATATTGAGGTACCCGTACCTATCATGCCCATTGTGAAGTTGGGAGATGGATAACTTGCAAGCCAGTAACACCAGATTCTCTATGACGTGGTGGAAAGATACGTACGGAGAGCCCCGAGAGCGAGTCGACGAAAATGAGGCGTAAAAGGGAGAGGTGTATGTAACGACAGTTATTCTTCCTGTTGAGAAGAAAGAGAAGACGAAAGTTCAGGAACGAGTGAGAGAGAGATTATTGATGTAGGAGAGAAAGAAGGAAGATACAAAAGAAGGTTAACATGTAGGGCAGATCTAAGAAATTAAAAAGCCAAATCCAAATAGAGCAAAGTGGAAAAAGAAGGAAAGTCGAGCTAAGATAAGCTTGATATTTTGATATGCAGTTACCCTAAACATTAATGCGGAGCGATGAACCTTG